ACGTCAATGGAAGGAAGGAAAATAAGGGCACCATGGGAAAGGCTCCTACTCCGGAGCCAGGGTCTGCATTCAGCAAATAGTCAATGCCGTGTCACGATCAAGAGATCACAGTAAGGGGGCGCCCGGAGTACGCGGACCAGGGACCTCGTCGTCCCATGGGCGCGCCGGACGTGCAACTGTGGCGGCTCTCGTGTGTGAGAGGAGCAACCGCGACCTCTTCCAGGGCCGGGATTGTAGCGTCGCAGCACAGGTCGATCCTGAAACTGGGTGATTCAGTGAGCAGCCTCGATCTGGCCTAAGGTGCTTGGGGACGCAATTGTCAGCCAGCCGCGGTGCCGATTCCCGCTGCGCTTGTTTGCTTGGTCTCGTATTGTCTTAGTTGCTTTCCGATGTGCGTTTTCTTTGCTTTGCTTTGGCTTGCTTTGGCTTGCTCTGCATTAGCCTCTCGTTATCGCTTGGATCAGCGTGTTGGAAGTGTGTGTCATGTACGATGTGAATGCTACTACAGCATGGTGCATGTATGTGATCAGTCAAATCAAATCAAATTAATCAAATCAGACCAGACCACACCCCGGCCGCTGCCCTATTACTGGCTGGTGCTTGTCTCAAACAATGCTGTCAGCAAACATCGTAGTCACGGACGGCGCCTACCGCACAGGCTTGGAGGTTACGGCGTCTGGCGTCCGGCTCTGGCTGAAGCCACGTGAGTGCTAATAACGAAAAAGACCAAGATCTTGAGAGGAGCCTCCTACGTCAGATGAGCCAGGCTGGATCAAGCTGAGTCTGTGCCATGCCATACCATGCCATGTGTGCATATACCTGCAGCCATAGCATACATGCTAGAGCTATAGCTGAGCATTGTCTCCTCCCATTACGATCAATCAATAGGCACTGCCCTACACAAATCAGGCATGTGTGTACCCAGATGATTATCAACCCCACAGCAAACCTTCTTTCACATGCACACAATCACCAACACACTGGCTTTGGGCTAAAGAAATCAAAGACAGACTCAAGTGGGAGCGGGAGGCGTTCCGTTTCGTTGTCTCGCCTCACCTCGTTTCATTCATCTCGTTAGAAAACCTTGTTGGTCAACGGGACCGAAGAAAACAGTCAGTCAGTCAGCACGCCCCATTCCCGTCCCCCATCCCATGATCCATCCCCCCAGTTCCCCATCATCTGACTTTTTCCCCCCTTCGACAAAGGCCCGGAGTGCCACCGGGGCCAGCAATACATTTGCCCCCGCCAGAATAGTCAATGCCCATTCTAGACGACTCCTTTCTTGCCGTACCCGGACGATGCAACGTGAATTCCCAGCTCGATGCCAAGCCCGTTCGTGTCCGATCGCTTGATTAATCAGGAGCCTTCCATCCACCCAATCGGTCTTGCTCTCGGATCAATCTTATTGCATTCGCGAACGCACCTAAACCTTCCTATTTGCTACCGGCGGCAGCGGCTCTGCTTATGGTTTTGGCGGCCTTCGATTGGATGACTGCCCCCTGTAGACTGTGAATGAGATGAGATGAGTACTCCAATAGTCGCACGTTGTAGGCCATGTCTTCCGGTCGTCGTATCACATCCCGTGTACTCTCGCTGGGGTTATGTTCCAATATTGCATTTCATGGCTTCATTTGGATCTACTGCTCGATCGGCCGTCGGCACTACCTCCACATCAAAAACCAACCAACTTTTCCAAAAGTTCTTCTTGTCAGCGACATCGCTTCGAAAGATCAATGTTGTGTCTTAAGGCTTTGCATATTATGTCACTCGGAACTTTGGAAACGATTGCATGAAACTCGACTGTGAATATTGCTCTGCGTAGTATCCAGAAACTCATAAACTGATAATTCTTCGCGTGTGACGAGGCGCATCGCCGTCCTGGTTACAACTCCCATTTTATTTCTGTCATTTTTAGCTTTATCTTTGGTATTTATTATAGCAATATGTAAAGTGAGGGTGCACATAGATCCCCATAAGTGTTCCCAGCTGGCACTCTCATATAGTGCCTTAATTTGAATCTACTACTTGGCGAATAGAAAATGAGCTCTAACAATCTATTCTTGGGGAAAGAATCGTTGAGTCGCCCAAAAAAGAATCGACCAATGTTTTAATTAAGTTGTAAACGAAGACGAGCTCACTGTTCGATTAAGACTTTTCTCTTTACAGACCATACCCTAAACCCTAATACACTGTTTAATCATCCTCAGGGCCGGCACAAGGAATTGCATCGGAATACCTGGAACACATGATCGAAAAATACTTGCATCGAGGTGAAATATTTGGCATAATGCAAAGACTATGATAACTGAAGTGCGATTGTGGCTGGGTAGAGTGCTGTTGCAAGAGAACATTAAATTTAAATACTGACGTAGGATAGAGAAATCCGCAATACACCAAAAATCGACATTTAAGCGTTTACTCGACTTCTCATTTTTTCTAGGATAGATTTCTTACCGCTCTGTCTATCACCCATTTTGCGGAGGATGATTAGTTGCTCATTTTACCTTTGGCAGTGTATACTGGGAAGAGCTCCTCATCCAACCGTCCTTTTCTTTCAATTTCTTTTCTCATCAACTGAGGCAATATCAAAATAACCCTTCGAATTAAAAAGAAATAAGATGAGACTGGACTTCTCGATATTTTATGGAAGACCAATTTCCTTCCCATAAGACCTTCATATGAATGGAGTATTTATTCTACGGTTTGTCTAGTTTCGCAGCAGCATCCGCCCTAACTTGATCTTGAGACACTTATTGTACGTGCTCGGTACAGAGAATCATGTACAAGCGTCAGAATTAGAAGAGAGCTTTCCATACTCATTATGAACCCCGGATTGCAGAAGGGAAGTGAGGATAGCCTCGGTAATTGGTTATGTAGTCACTCCCGAAGTGCAAGGGAGCGTAATTTGCTAACGGAATGACTTCTATGTATAATTAAGACTCTTCATACCCCCGTCAATATTTTCCATTCAACTTCTTCCGCCCCGGGTGGGTTTAGACATAATACCGTCTCGGCCGAAAGGTCCGTTAAACGTAAGATGTGCGGGTTTAAGCAGTAAGGCCGTTTCAGTGAAGAGGCTCATTAACCTCCAGAGTTTACGTATTAATATTATGTCGGCCGTAAAATCCGTTGCATGGGAGTAAATATTGTAAGTATATAGAGGTATGAAACCTCATCGTGACTACCATCGGATGTATCCTTTCAACAACACACTCTCCAAGACTCTCCCCAAATTACCCAAGAATAACAATGCGTGTGCCATTCATCACAGTAATCGCAAGCATTAGCTATGCAACTGCTGTCAATGCTATTTCTCAGCCGCGTCTCATTTACGAATTCCCTAACAACAGCACGTTTATTGAGAACCTCGCTGTTCGCCCCAACGGAGAGTTGGTGCTGACCACATTCCACGATGGACACATCTACACCATCAACCCCTCCGCGCACAAGTCCGTGCCTAAGCTTGCTGTCAAGGTTCCGGAACTCACCGGTGTCACGGGAATTTCCCAGATTGCTCCGGACGTCTACGCTGTTACTGCTGGCGTAGTCAATGTTTCCGAGTTCAAGTGGGAGGCTGGAACGGGTCGTGTTTTTAAGCTGGATCTGCGCAAGCCATTTATCGCTGGAAAGGCTGTCCTCGAGCCTGTTTTAGCCATGCCAGAAGCTGGGTTACTCAACGGGATGACCTCATTGCCCTCATACCCGCACATCATCCTCACTGTGGACTCGAAAACAGGTGTGCTATACCGTATCAACATGGACACCGGAGCTGCTGAAGTTGCTTTCTGGAGCGAATCGTTCACTATTTCCGAAAACCCTATTGAACCTCTGGGCGCCAACGGTATCCATGTTCATGGCGATTACCTCTACTTCACGAATTCAGCTCGTGGAATTTTTGGGCGTGTCAAGATCGATGCATTGGGCAATCAAGTTGGCGATGTTGAGCAGATCGCACAAGTTTCGTCGAGTGCACCGATCGACGATTTTGCTACAGGTCCAGATGGATCTTTCTATGTGACTTTGCACCCTGAGTCATTGGTTAACATCAAACCAGAGGGAAATATTACCGTCATCACGGATGGTTCTTCAAGAATCAAACTCAGAGGGCCAACTGCAGTGACATTTAGTAACGATAAAACCAAGCTGTACATTACGACGGTTGGGGGGCAAGTCGTCGAGCTGTGTCTTGACTGAGGAGTCAGTGAATTCTACCAGATATCTCTTTTGGACAGAGAAAAGTGTAATCGCTGGAGACGGAAAATCCAAGTGGGCTTACTGTCAAGGATACTACCCTTTCTTTCTTCAAAACGAGTTGATTATATGCAAGTCATTTTGCGGAAGGGGGGACTTTCTACATATATTATAGACTAAGGTTGATTCTTCTTATGAGTTACCAAGAAGCGATCGTTCAAGTATTTGCCTTTAGTCTTTATATCCAAGATGTGGGAATATCCTTCCAGTTGACCTTCAGAGAGACGAGTTTTAGTCATTGAAAGTGGAGGAAGTTATCGTGATCAATGCCACCTTCACTGCTCAGTCAGGCTTATCTCCGAAGGCAACAAATATGCCTGGTGCCTCCCTGAGGCGATCCCTGCTTTTCAGCCCAGCATGTGCTCGGCCTAAGCGCCCACGAGCTTGGCACGAGGGCCTACGGTGTGCAAATGTGTTGTGGGTGTGAAAATTCTAGTGCTGCTTTTCATTCCCGGAAACCATACGCAGAGATTATGAGAGAGGTAATCGTAGTCTCTCATGCTTGACTGGCCGGAACCTGGGTTCGTGGAAGCGATCATATTCTTTCTTGGTGGTAAATCTACCCTTGCCATCTAACTCATTGCAGTAAGATGCTTCGTGATGAGCATCTCGCCGTATATTGCTCTTTTTGGAACAACTTTGGCAGGCCCATTCATCTAATTACGTGCTCCTTGGAAGCAACACAAAACCTTGAAGCGCGAGAGAGGCCATCAAGTTTGTGCTTGACGTTTACAATATATTCCTTCACTATGCGTAAAATGAAATGGATGCTGGCGGTGCTCCTTTGTGGCTGCCAGGCGCAAGATAACATCCCATCCGCGGACACTTTCTTACGTCGTCTGAACACCAAAGGTAGGTACCATTGATAGGACTAGGACGGCTATGTGGAATTTTACGGATCGCTGACGAGCAGACAGCCACGGTCATCAATGACTACCTCTATCTGGATGGAGGGGAACTATCGCAGAAGGGGTTCACAGCTTATAGAAACTCCAATGGATGTAAGTGAGATCACTAACGATCTTTCCATTTGCTAATAGTACCTGTACAGTTAATATCACCGCTTCCATCGATCTTTCCAAGTCTTGGTATCCGGAAAATGTAACCTTCAACGAGACCCCCAAGCCCGACGGGATCCCAACTCTCTGGCGGCATGCCATCTTCACCGATAACGCATCCAACTCTTTCTATATTTACGGCGGCAGAGAATCCTTTCCCAATGGCCCACCGCGCGACAAGTACTGGAAGTTTATTGCAGATAATAAGGGGTCTGGTTCCTGGAGCACCGAAACCACCAGTGGCGCGTTCACGGGCCTGATCCGTTCAGAAGCAGGAGCTTTTGCTAGCACCAGCAACGCCGGATTCTGGGTTGGGGGATACGCTTCGGGATGGACAGACAGCCAGGCGACTGGCGATTTAGCCAGCGATATTCCCGGTGTTGTGTCATTTAATTTCAGCACCAAGGTTTGGAAAAACCACACCGAGGCCCCGTACTCACCAAGCGGAAGGATGTATGGCGGCACTGCTACGTATATTTCCAACTTAGGCCCAAATGGTATTATTATGACGCTTGGCGGTGTCGTCAGTTCGAAGCCAAAGGCCGCCGGACATTTGGACCTCGGGAATGTGCATTTCTTCGACCCAGAAACAATGAAGTGGTACAAGCAAGCTACAACAGGCGACATCCCTTCCGGTCGCATGGATCACTGCGCAGTTGGCGTGAAGGGCAATGGGACGTTTGAGATGTGAGTACTTTGGAATAACACCAGCCCAAGATTTCCTGTGTTTCAAGTATAGCGGCTCTAAACTCTGTATTCAAGCTTTGTGTTTGGCGGTTGTAATGTAGACCAAGATGAGACCTACAAGGATATGCACATCTTGAGCCTCCCTGGTTTTGTGTGGACGAAAGCGAGTGAAGAGGCTCGGTCTGGTCGAATGCAGGGCACATGTGTTCTTGCTGGAAAGCGGCAACTGGTGTCCATTGGCGGAACTGAGGCTATTAGCGATCCCGACGCGTGGGGAGCGGCCGATCCCGAGCCCCAGGGGTTATCTGTATTCGACTTGAGCGAGTTGTCATGGAAGGAAAAGTACGATGTCAATGCTGCTGAATATACTACTCCCTCCCGACACTATCAAAATGTGGTATAACAATGGGTAAGTGGCTCAGAAGAATAGACCCATACTGATTTTTACCTCAGAAATTGCTTACCATGGTTAGGGGCTTGGACAAGGTCGTTTGGGGCGACGGTGTAAAGGATCTTCTATCCGGGAAGTCAGAACTGGGTGGCACAGAGTCCAACCCCCAGCCTACCCCGGATACAACTGCCGAGCCAGCAGACAATTCTTCTAACTCCAAGTCACCGTCTACTGGAGTCATCGTCGGAGCCGTAGTTGGCTCGGTTGTCGGTGCTATCGTCTTGGGCTTGCTGAGCGTCTTTTTCTTCGCGCGAAGACGCTGCAGGTATGAGCCAGCAGTATCTGAACTGCCGCAATATCAGGAACCCCCAAATGAATTAGAAGCTCCAAGAAGTATAACCGAGCCTCCCAAGTATGTGGAAAGCTCGACACATGATTCAGAGCCATTCAAGGACACGGAACACTTTGCATACAAAGCAGAGCTATCAACCGATGGCGAGCTCAGCGCTGAGTTAGGACCAGGAAGACAATGACCCCAATGGTTGCAGCAAACGCCTTCAGAGATCGACAACAGGTTATAAAAAGCTTTACATAGAATACATTTTCCTTTTAATCACTTATATAGTAAATTTTTGAAGGGCCTTTCTAGGCTTATGCGTTACGTCTAGTTTGAAACGAATGCAGGTTTGGGTTGGATGTGTAGTTTGATCAGGCATGTTTCAAGCAGCCATCCTTCTTTATCTACCGAAGATACCTAGAAATATCTTTCATCACGTAAGAGCAAGAAAATGAAGTTCAACAGCTATGGAAGATGCCAGAGCCCGACAACTTGGGTCCTTCATTCACAACTCTCTCTTCATTTTTTTTGTCTTCTTATGATACCTCTGCGGGTTGAATCTTCTTTGAAACACCGTAGTGAACCCAGGGAGCCTAGAGTGGGATGATCTCGTCAGCCTCCTCTACCAAAACGGCATCCCTAGAATCCCTCGCATCCTCCCTTCGCTTCAGATTTGTCGAGCTTTCCACCCCTACTACCTTAATCCTCTGAGGGTTCTGCATCAAAATCAAAATCTATGCCTGGCAATTCATGGACGCCTTGATTCACTGTCGCGCTGGCCACATCCATGCCTCGAATAGCGAGCCATTGCTCCCTAAACTTGGGCCCCCAAAGCGGCGAACAGATGTGAGGTAGGACTATGCTCCCTTTTACAAGGTGAGTTATCAAGTCAAAGATGCGATTCTCCTTGGTTTGGAACACAACCTCGAGCTTCACCGAGGATGAGTCATGAGTGAATTGGACTAAATGAGGGTCGATGTTCTCCTGGTTGAACGCAAACCGAACCCGCCTGAGACTTTTGTAGCGCTCACCAAGGGAAACAACGTCGAGAAATTCCTGTGCTTGGTCCAAGATCGCCTTGCCGCAACCATGGATCACAAGGTCTTCCAGATTCTCAGGCAAACAATTCACCAGCCTTGGTGCACCTTCAACGTCGAGGGGAAGGTCCGGGCCAAAGACATCCTCTGGCTGCGCATCAAGCAGCCCCGTAAGTGCCTGCATTCCAGTCACCAGTGTTTTCAAAGCCGTCATGGCTCCAAGTTCGACTCCCATGAACAACCTCTCTGGCTGCTCAGCCCAGCCATTTTTGTACCAGTCATCCTCCCAGTTGACATGGAGATATTCGAGCGTTTCGGCGTGTGGCAAAATAGCCTCCATCAGGTCGCGCGGCATCATCTCGTTGTCGTACATATGGTATACACCCCTCGTGAATTCAAATGAACGGAGATGTTTGACGGGAGATAAAAGATGGCGGATGAGAACCTGGGATATCGCGCTTCTGCGTAGAAAGATGTGCTCTACTGCTGAAGACCCTGGCGGTAATGCATCGAAGAATGGTCCTCCCTCCTCGCTGCCATTAGCCATGAGAATCTCATAAGTAGACAGGTTCGGGAGCTGAAACAGCAAAGCAGCGTGGCGATGCCAGACAAGATATCCATATTTTGTGTCTTGCGACTCATGGTACACTTGTTCAAGGTTTGCAAGCGGACGCTTCCTGTTCTCTTGCCCACCGGCAGGAGATGGCTGGGAGTTGCGGCCTGCGAGCTGCAGGACTCGTTCCAAATGGCGCGGCTGGTATGACTCGACGTAGCAAAGAAGCTCAACCCGTGAGCACACAATCAAGATGAGCGCACTCACTGCGTCTGGGACGCCCCTTTCCAAGTCTTCAATCAAGTTTATGCAGTACCTCTCATACTTTTGATGAGATTCATGCGCAAAGGCTTCTTCGACCAGTCTGCGATAGACGCCCATTTCGCTTGGTCCTGGCTTGGCCAAAGCATCAACCTCCACGTCGTGCCACGCAGGATAATGCCCGAAGAGCAATTCCTTGACATGCCTGGCGAGATCCGGCTTTGCAATGGTTATATAGTGAAGAAACTTGAGGCTGCGGGTTCGGACGGTGAGGTTCTCGTCATTGTCATAGACACCATCGTCCAAGTACTTGTAGTTGCGGAACGTATGAACGGAGAGCGGGAGGCCGACTTGGTAGAGTTGCTGACAAGTGAGGAGAATATTTTGAATCCCTTTGGGCTCGAGATATGAGAAGATTCGCGTCTGGATTTCCCCTGGTAGTCTCAGTAAAGGAGAGCTGAGGATCGTTTCAGTCGACATCTTGCAGCGAGGTACACTTGAGCAGTAGTAGTTGTAGTTGTTCTTAAGACAGTAAGAGTTGGTGACGTATGTAATAAGGCGCCAAGTATTTACTATTATGTCCACCTTGACGGTCTGACTAAACACATGTCAACACCCATATTTTTTGCTGATTCTGCCAATGGTAAAGCACCGCCTAAGCTGCTTACTCTCCCGGCCATGCAGGCATTAGCTCGCTAATAAATTCTCCCAGCTTGAGATGTTATGGCCTACATCATATGACTCTTGCAGCCGCCTAAGTGTAAGAACGAATCATCTATTGCTAGACTGAATGAAATATCCCTAGGTGCAAACAAATCTCCTGCTACGATAGTATCCTTTTTAGGAAGACCAAGTTTCAGTTGGGTCAAAGATGAGTCTATCGGTGCGATGCTGGCCTCATAATTCGCCCCTTCCCGTTCAGCGGTGCTGTTTGGCGCCTCTTCAAGCCAACGATCGCGAAGCACTCTAGTAGTTTGATGGAGGGCTATGCTAATAGATTTATCTGCGATTCAACAAGGCCTGTTGAATTCACCTCTGCTCCACAAGCTCTAGCACTCTTTGCTCGCGTCAAAAACCTAAGGATCTGTTGGAATCGTCTGTGAAGCAGTATGCGGCTGCACTCTGACTTTGGATGGTCTTAAGTTTATGCTATACCATCTACTTGCCTCTCTATACTCCTGGCTTCCACTATATATAGTACTATTTTCAAGGGCATAAAATAATAGAGCTAAAGCAGACAATCGTATTAGCTGCTGGAGAAAGTTTCATTAATAGCCAATGAAGATATCGAGATGCCTTCTCGTCCCTTCTCGTCGGAAATAATTTAACACGTCTCGAGATTCGTGATGCTTGGGGATGTAAGATATAAGAATTGAAATTACTACTTATTATAAAGACTATATGAGCAAATTCATTCCAGGTCATCATTCAACTCATCAAGCTCTTCTAAACAACACTCAGTACGTCCATTGCCCACGTCTTACGAGCATTGATAACGCGCTCAGAAACGGGAGCAGTGGGTGCTAGGAGATCAGAACCGTGGTATCCGCCAGAGGTGACATGGACCTCGACCAGACCGCCGGCCTCCCAGATGCCTTCGGCAAACGTCAGAGCGGGCTTTCGGAACAGCTCCGCGCTTCCAACATCAATGAAGACTGGGGGAAGATTGCTCAAGTCAGTGGCCCTGGCTGGGACGAGGTATGGGTTGTTTGTAGTGGTGCTGCTTGGGTTCGAGCCGAGGTAGGCGTTCCAGGCTATCGTGTCTGACTCGGAGCTCCAGACAGGGGCCGACTCGCCAGTGAAGAGGCTCTTCTCCTCTGCGGGGATGGCGTTGTCGAGCATGGGGTAGTGCATGAGAAGGCCATTGAGGCTTACGCCCGCGGGCTTCTTGTCGCGGACCATCATACCAAGTGCGGCTGTGAGACCACCTCCGGCGCTGGTGCCCCAAGCAATGGCATTGGATGCATTGAGACCCAGGGTCTCGGCATGGTCAACTGTCCAGGTAAGCCCGGCGTAGACGTCCTGGATGGCGGCTGGGGCAGGGTGGTCGGGTGCAAGCCGGTATTCAACGGAGATCAAGACGGCGTTGAGAGCCTCGATGGTGGGCATTATGAAGTCGATTCCGAAGAAGCGGTTGCCGGCTACTAGACCGCCACCGTGAATGTAGTAGACAAACCGACGATCAGTTTGTCCACTGAGAGAGTCGGGAGTAAATACAGAGAGTGTGCTGGTGTAGTTGTCGTAGCTTGTGAAGTTGTATTCCTCATGTGAGACTGACAACCCTGATAGGACATAGTCGGCAGTGTATATCTGGTTTAGTTGTGAATTGATTGTGGGAAGCACATCCTCGCTCCAGATGGCAGGGAATGGCCATGAAGACACAGCGTCAGCCAAGTCGGGGTTGACTTTTGGTGTGGCTGCTGCGCGAGAACGCAGGGCAGAGGCCCCGGCAGACAGCGAAAGAAAAGCGAGAGCGGCAGAATGAGCGAACATCTTGGCTAAGATGAGTTGTTAAAGAATGATGATGTTGGTTATGAGGATGAGCCAAACCACAAACTGTTCGGGTGGAATTCAACCACTTATTTATACGACCATGATGCTTAGAGAGTTGCGGCGTATAACTGATTGAGAACATCCCCACCTCCAGAAACCTAGAAGTGGCAGGTCAAGCCACCGTACCTTGCCCTATACACCCTTGTGTATGGACCATGTAATTCTTGTATGATGATCAGGTGGAGTACGTTGGTGGTTCACATGGAAATTGTTCCACCGTTTTACAAGGAGCGGATGACCTTGACAATCAAGAAACCGGGCACAGCGGGGCACTTCGGTGCTGACGGTGAGATGTTTTGGTCCGATGATAACTTCAACACTTGGAGTTTGGATCTTTGGGTGAACGTAATGTAAGAGATAGCATCATGTGCCATGTTGCGTACAATTGTGATGACAATATTGAGGCATCACAGCTTGATACCACCCATGTCTAAGCTCGGATCTCTCAACTGAATTATCAGTCATCTTCACGCGTGCTATATGTCAGTACGGCATCAATAGGTGAAGATTCACCGCATACAGGGATACATAACCACCGAGCACTAAGGAACAGTCCAGTGACGGGAAGCCCCGATAGGAGCAGGGCCCAATCCATGGCATCCATGACTGGTCAAGGAACAGCCCACTAACCATAGAGACCAACAATGCCGAAGATTCGTAAGGAGAGTGCCGCCATGAGAACTTGCCAGCTATGATGTCTCAATTCTGGGTCGGCGAGCCTTGCTGAGACCCTGTAGAATAATGAGATGAGATTACTTGGACCAGGGTTGAGGAACCGCATCGCGTGAGGTAGGCCAACCAAGGACCCCTGCTGACTTGCATAAACGTGGTGAATCGCCCGGACGGTACCGTTACATTGAGGCCGGTAATTAACTCCATTTATTTCCATTTCCAAAAGCTGAGCCTCCTTCAAGCCATGCATCATCATTTACTTGTGGTTTTCCCCAGCCGGCATATCCGTACGTAATACTTTGAGCTAGGTGGTCTTCTTCTTTGGCACCCAGCGAGGCAAACCGACAATGAACAGCTTTGTCCTCTGAAGATCGTAGAGAGAAGAGGGTTGAAGAAGATTGCTAAAGGTTGAAACAGACTGTCTCCACATGAGCTCTGATGAAACAGCCTCCGCTATGAAGGACCATTGTATAAGTACAGAGAAGCCTTAATTAACCTGACGAGCAGACACGTTTATTCTGACATGAAACCCATAAATATTGCCGCATCGCTGGCGTCATGTCCGCCGCAATATCTAATCAAGCATGCCCAGTCGTGGGGCATGTGGTACATAATTTCCAGGTTTAGAATTATCCACGTGGCATCCTGCAGGTTCAACCTGTCACTTCTTTATCGTTGACAAATAATTGGCTAGTTAATATCGCTGACCCCAAGGTCCTATAATCCTATAATTCTCAACGTGTGAGAAAAGGGCTTTGCGTCTGAACAAGTTCTTACATCGTCCCAAGTTCGGTTTACAAGTTGTGAGCCAATCCGTGTTGAGAGGAGAGCGGCTGTCTGAACATCTTCTATCTCCAATCGTTTCTCTAATCATTTGATTATAGCACTCTCTGCGAGAAGAAAGAATCAAGTTGTTTTGAGATGAACATCCATTTCATGTATAGCATCATGCAAGAAGAAAAGAGAATAAAACCTCTTCTTGTAGAATCCAAAGCTTTTACTGGTAACCGTTCACCGCAAACGGCATCATGGCAGCTGATCGATCCCCTATATCGAATGTAGCCTATCAGGAATCTGAGGGGGGACCATTATTAATCCATAAAAACATGTGGTAACCAACGGGAAGTTCCTGGTCTAGGAAAATGAGAATATACATCCCCCACCGAACGGCAAGCTGTGGCTGAGTTGAAGACCCCATTCTCTTGGCATGTATTGTTCAAGCCGGCAAGACCGGGTATCCATGAATAATTTCAATACATCGGACATACTGATTGTTCCGAGTAGTACGGTAGATCATGACGAGGAAAGCAAGGTGCTCGTGGCATACTTCCCTGCTTCATTGGGCGATGGGCATTGGCCAGTATGCGGTCTGAAAAATACCAGAGCGTCAAGTCAGAGCTCGAAATGGCGTGCTCTAGAATCTGTACATCGTACTAGTCATATCGCGACCCTGGAGCTCCAGAAATGTGATTAATAATGGGCTCACTTTTGCAACCCTGAACCTTGGGAGCATGCTCATCGGTCAGCCAGGATGTCTAGTGCCAACCAGACGACAGGGTAGAGCAAATGCGCTCACGATGTCGAGAAAATCTCTAAACTAGCTACCCTATCACAGTTGTGGTTGATATCTCACGCTGCTGGGTAGTTACTGTTGCTCACAACTATGTTCACGCTGTGAAGAAGCAGAGACAGTGACTTATTATACATACCTGGCGAAACTTGTATCACTTGCATCTCCTTTCACCCTTGTTAGTGAATCTACGAAGGGGGGCATGTAGCAAGTATTAAAAACACGATCTTCATGAGTAGGTAGTGCATGCTGGGTCTCCGACATCCCCATCATTAAATCATTAACAGAGAGATATGAAATCACCTGCTGTATTCAATTCTGGCGAGTTCCTATGTCTCTGTGACTGTTTGCCGGGGTCATAGCTTTATGGCTGTGCTGGAGTAAAGTAAAGATAAAATCCAACTTGTCAAAATAATTGACCCTGTTGGCCTGGGATAAGTAAGACACCGATAACCTCAGGAAACTTGCAACTTGGCCCTACGAGAACCCATTGGTATATGTGAAGACCATTTCAAGTTCTAGTTTATAAATATTAGTGACAGCTGTTCTTTGCAAGCAACTATCTACTGAAGCTCATGAGGTTGTTGTAGTACTTGAGTATATAAAGTTTACCGACGGTCGTTGGCATCAAACTTCTCATTCCACCAAATTCGGACGTGCTTTTGAGCACCCAGTTCAGAGGTCTTCGCAATCTCCTCTTCTGTCAGCTTAAACTTTGGTAGGTTCGTCAGATATCCCTCAAGCCTAGATGTCTTTGAGCTTGTGGTAATAACGACGACGCCCTGATCCAAAATCCAACGGAGGCCGATATCTGATTCCGTCACGCCATACTTTTTAGCCAGCTCTTTCCAGTAGGGCTCTACCGGTCCGCCCTTGGCGGTGGTGATTGGGGTCAGAGGGCTGTAGGACTCAACCGTAATGTTGTTCTTCTTCAGGAAGGGAACAAGGTCTCCGTGCTGTAGGTACGGGTGGTATTCGATCTGGTTGACAGCTGGGGGGATCTTGGCGGTCTTGAGGATAGTCTCAATGTGCTCCTGCAGGAAATTGGAAACACCAATAGACTTGGCGCGGCCAGATTGCTTAATCGTTTCCAGCTGTGCCCATCTCTCCTGTAACTCCTCCTCGGTGTCGGCAAACCAAGGTCCGTGAAGCAGATACAGGTCTACATATTCAAGACCAAGTTTCTTTAACGAAATATCAAAGGCCTCCAGGGCATTCTTTTTGTGATTTGCATTGATCTTGGTGGTAACAAATAGTTCCTCCCGAGGAACTCCGGCAGCTTTGATGCCGGCACCAAGCTCCTGCTCGTTTCCATAGACTAATGACCCGTCAGCTGAATACTTTCCAAGGTAGTTCGTTCCACACACCTTCTGCTCCGTCGAGATGTCGATATCCAGTCAGGATAGCTTGCTTGGTAAGCTCGATTAGACTCTCGTCGATCCCTGAGTTAGGATCATTCTTGTAATTTGCGGTGCCCAAGCCATATGCAACCTAGATAGAAGACCATTAGCTTAGTTCTAGGCCAATATGTATTCCCTTGATACTTGAGCATCAATTTGAACAAAGAATTTTTATGAAAGACTTACAATAGGGATCTCCTTGCCATCATTGAGTTTGACCTTAGAGATATCGAGTGAAGCGCCCGCCATTGTGAAGTTACTGCAACTAAATTCAAATCCTAGTTGATTTTACCTGCGTCTCTTCAAGTGAAATGTTTTGATTCAAGAAGCCACCTTTATTTAACTGGCGATATCGGAGAGAAAGGGGGAGAAGCGGGTGGCATGTGAAGCTATTTATTAATCGACATGTGGGGTTTTGCGTTGTTTTTACTTATCTTGGCCAATGGACCATCTGTGACATACCATCGGAACGCCTCTTTCATGTATCGATATTCAGTCCAGGTCTAACGATCCATCATCGAATCCGGGTGGCCTTCCAACCTCGGCGCAGCCTTGAGATCTGTACACAAGTGCCCATGATTTCTGTAGAATATCTCATCCTCTTTCGAGTCCGACCAAGACCTGGCTAAACACTAAAACATGAGATCTTCTCATGTTGTAACGACGGAGCTTCGGAATGAACCCGGAATAGGCCTAGGGTTGGCCTCGTATCGAGGCATGACGAAATTAGTCTCCATCTCCTCCGGGAACTGGCCAGTCGAAAGGGAGCTATCCTCCCCATTGGCCAAATCGCGCAAACATTGCGGTTTATGTCGTCTCTTCTTCCGCTAAAGCAATAGGCTAAGGTTTTCCTGGTCACAGGCATAAGTTGGGTGCAAAGTGAAGGGCTAGAGAGCGTTGATAGAGAATACGCGGTGGTGAAGATATCCGAATTTGTCACATATCAATATCACCCAAATCGAGTTCCGGGGCGTTCTTCATTTGCTATCTCTCATGAAAGTCCCCTAGATAGGGACCCGATAGACATCAAGTCCCAAAAGATCAACCCAGTATTGTCTCAAGCCTCTTCTCTATCATGATATCCATCCAATGCACGCTATCCGATAACATATTGCCATCAAACTCGAAGCCAGAATTGGAATCTACTAAGGCGTCCATTCGTGTCCAAGCCTCCTCAATCATAATGGCGGCATGTTTCACGGGACGGAGTCCCACGAAGCTATGCAGCAAAACCATCCGTTCCCGCACAAATGCTCTCCATTCCATCACTTCATGGTCCAGGGTCGCTTTCTCTGGCGAGCCAACTCGTCCTAGGACACTTCCTGCCGCGACTAGCGCCAGGCCTTGGACCGGGAGGGTGCTGGAGTCACTCAAGATGTTCTTGAGTATGTCCAGAACTCCGAAAGCAAGACTCAATATCAACGGGTTGTGGTAATCTCCACCCGGAGCAGCCGATTCGCAACCGGGAATGGTAAGACCAGACTGGTTTTCGACGATTTCAGGAAAGGCTCGGTACAGCTCGATGAAGGCAACCAGACGATAGCAGCGTGCGAGCCCCCAGAAATGTTTCGGGGGAGCACGAGGGTCCCCAGTGTCCTCGATCAAACTGACAAAGGGCACCCGCCAGCCGAGAATGGCCTGCTCCAAAGCACGAGCATCCTCTACGAGCTGAAAGTAGAGTGCATCACGGTATACCTCACTGTCTCTGAAGAGAGAAATGCTTCTTAGAGCTCTCTTCTTGCGCATCAGTGACCCGACCTTGGCCAGATGTATGAATATAGGGGTAGCCACGCCAGTCCAAGGACTGGGGGTTATGGTTCCCGTCCAATGTTGGTTAGCAAGGCAGTCTAGGTAGGCAAGATCTTCTGTTCGTTGATCAACCACAAAAGAACTCAGTGCTTCCCAATAAACCATGGAGGAAACAATGAATCTTTGTATGTCAGTCATCGTGGACGCCGTGTTCGCAGTATTCAATCGGTTCATGGTCACCCATGACTTGAAGAGGACTCTAGATCCAATGAGATGCGAGTAGCCTGGAGAAGAGGCATCATTCCATGCCTTAAGGTCACAATGGTGAGTATCTATATGTATAAAGTGTAATTTTCAACTAGTTGCTTACTGAAGTCATGCCCAGAAGAATGATTCCGAGAAGTAGTTCATCTTTGACCAAGGTAGTCTGAGATGGACCGGAAAGTTCCGTGCTCTCCTGCTCCTGATGAGTAGGTTGAGATGGGAGTATGCAGGTAGTGCTGAGATCAGTGGAGAGTTGCGAGAGTGCACGAGCCTGATATTCAAACGAAATAGTCGTGTTGTTATCGTATTGGTGGAGGTGGGCAGCGGACATGCTGAGAATACAGTAAAACATGAGTGGGGAGTCATTGATAAGTTTGGATATCTGGTTCCGAAAAGGGTTGTTTTCTGAGTCGAAAGAAGAGTTGATACGGCAGATCAGAGAAAAATAGTGGCTCAGCAAAACAGATGATTCTTCCGTTGGGACGTATAATGATAGCAGAGCATCTTGTGAAAGGGGGCTGTCAGATCCAGATATACTGATGTACTCATCTATATTAATCTGTTCTGCGGAATGATCATCGCCACCTGGCTGCTTGGGGGATGGACTGTTAGGTGCCGATAGGATGATTTCTTCGGTCTGCGGCGGCGAAGCCACGGAAGTCCCCAAGGCAGACGATCCTTGATCCCCTGAGTTGTTTGAGGCTGGCGACCCTTCTCTCGTGGTGGTAGTTGCACATGATGAAGTAATTTGGCTCGTTATACTCATAGGTGAGAAGATCCCAGCTATGTCGTTGAATAGTGGCGGCGATAGAGATATGACTTGTCGGTTAGCGTCAGCATCACCATCAGCAAGGACAGCAGTATCATCCCCGGCATTATGGTCCTCGGATTGGGCCGAAAGCTTCTCGTGCTTTGTCGACCACTTCACCGGACGCAAATATCCAGGACAGGTCAACCCTGTCTTTAGACATCGGCGACAGCTCGGGACAGTTTCATCGCACTTCACCCGCTACGATAACAATAATTCAATGAGTCATCGTATCTAGTGTGACTGAGAATAGTTGAACATACCCGGGTCTTGCAATTCAAGCAACCACCTAGATAACACTTCCGTCAGTCACTGTAATCAGTAGGAAAATGAGGAAACAAGAGATGAATCGTTACTTCTGGACTTGTGTCTTCTGCGAGGATTTGGCGTTGAGGTGCTCATGATTTCACAGTTGATGTAGCCGGCCGCTGATAGCCCAACAAAGGGTTAAAAGATATCAGAAGTTTTGGATGAGGGCATGAACCCCCACCGGCAGGGATCAATGTATACGCCACTGTCATCCAGCAATGTCGATTTGACAATATCGATCACAATAGCTTTTGCGGGGGAGCTTTATGCGGGTGGAGGACAATATGGCACACGTCGTTGTCTTGCAGATCGATTCGGAACTAGGGATTCGGTTCCGAAGCTATGTGGATGCGGTGTCTGAATGGAAATCCGGGGATACAACAGCGCTGGTGAGGCGAACAAGATTTGGGGTTTCGGGTTCCTGAGTTGGGATAGGAAAGGGATAGAAGAGAAGAACTCTCCTCATCTACATGGAAGAGGCAGGATATTCGGGATCTCGGAATGTTATGAGATGTTGATGGAGACGAAAGGATGCCATGCAAGATAAGAGTGGAGGCTGGATTAGTTGTCCTTGCGGGGTAGTTACTAGGGCAGTTGGCTCTGCCAGCTTAGTTAGTCCTTCTTATCGAGTCAGGGGCTTGGGTTTCTAAGGGTAATCCATACCTCGCCTCCACCTGCATCTAAAGATCAAGAGGCATCCATCCATTCCAAAGCAGACTGGTTTGGGAGCTAAGGTTTACACTACTCAACCCCTCGGCCAGTGGCCTGAATCATATTAGTCAACAACACCCATTGCACCTTGCCCAAGGCTCTCTCTTCATACATGTAACTAGATATCTTCTCAGGCTATGCCGGAGTTACAGTCTCTCCGTCTTTTACCGCGTCAGTGCTCTTTGAAGGCGGATATATGGTTGTCTCGGGGGTCTCAACCAGCGGGCCAAAGTATTGCTTCCGCGCAAACGCAAACCAATACAAACCCCCCAACACAAGCATGCCCCCCAAAACCACTGGAGCATAGTTCATGTTCTCCGGTGTTACAGGTTGATATGGTGGGAAAAGCATGAAGACGCAGGTAAAGCCCAGATATAAAATCGCAACAATATTGACCACGACTCCAGCCTTGCCTAGCCTCCATGGTCCCCAGGTCAGGGTATCTGGTACAGCAATTCTTCGCCACAGCACGAGGCAAATGGGCATCAGGTAGGATGTTTGGAGACCGACAACTGCTAGTGACAGGATGGCGTTGAAAGCAGTCGTGGAACCAATATTGATCAGGCCCAAGAGCATCAATAGTAGCGTTATAATGAGAATCGCCACGGTCGGCACATTGCGCTTCTCGTCGATACGTGAGATAACCCTTGACCATGGGAGTGCTATCCAAATAATAGATGTTAGCTCCATTCTTCCATTGACTTGCAATATTGTCATTCTCACCTTGATCTCTAGCGAATGCCCACAACATTCGACTAGCTGATGTGTGCAACGCAATGGTCGATAACATGGCCATAAACGAGATGCACACCACCATCACTGTCGCGGCCGCCTTGTTTCTAGTGATGGTGTAGAAGATCTGGATAATGGGAAAGCCTGTATTAGTATTGAGCGCTGAGTCGATATCGCCCATGCAGAAGAGCAGGGCAATGAGGAACCCGAAGCCCATAACACCATTAGCCACCACGGATCCAACCATGGCAAACGGGATACCCATTGCAGCGTTTTCCATCTCTTCACCTAGGTGAGTGGCACCATCATATCCCACCAGCACATAGGCGGAACTCAACAGCCCGATGCACCAAGCCACGCCATCGCTCTCCCACCCCGAGTTGTTCTGGAAAGACACGAAGACGAACTCGGCCGTATTCTTGGTCGGCGATAGAACGCACATGACGATGATTAACGTAACAAAGAGGATGACATGAAGAGCCATACTGAGCTTCTGTATCAGTGGGAGCACGCCATTGCAAAAGACACAGACAACAGTTGAGAAGATTAGGATGGCCCAGTATATCAGCGTCCCATGCCATCTTTCAAATACGTAGCCCTGTTCAGAATAGTTGAGAACTAAAAGGCCTTGAATCAGAGTCCCGGAAAGAAATGGTGCGCTGCCTGTAACAGCAATCCATCCAAGGAGACTGTGTGTTTCCCGTCCCCGGGTTATTGTTAACAATGCATCGCGCTTCTAGGAAGCTTTGCTTGGATGTATTTACCTTATGTAGCCACCGAGCCAACCGGCACCCTTTCGTACGGATTCCGGACTCAAATGGGCGACGAAATGATACTGCCCTCCAGCAGTGGGCTGTCTACGAAGAACCAGATTAGCAATGAAGTGTGGAATTCTATTATGGCTCATGGGTAGATATCAACTTACACTGAGGCAAGCTCTGACAGAGACATGGCTGAGCAAGTCGAGCCAATGACAGCCACGATCATGCCGTACACCAATGATACGGGACCTCCGCTTACAAGCCCTGCTGCCATGACGCTTCGAAAGATTAGCATTCGATAGAGAAAGGTTTCTTTGTCCAGAGTCAGCCGTACCTAGTAAGGGCTTCCCAAGTAGCCATCAGACTCACACAGAGTGCCAACATGGAGCCTCGCGCAAAGTTACGCTTCTTATGTCAGTAACAAAGGGTATTTCTTTTTGCAGGAGTCGGCTTGTATATGAACCTTGAGGTTTGGGTCATTATCTCTGTTTGAGGACAATACGTCCTGCACTTCTGTGGCAGACTTTTTCACTTCTGCAGAAGACATGGTGCTCTGCCCGAAAGTACGTTAGGTTTCAAAAATATGTAAGCTTCAGGTTGATTGAGGGTAGTGAGTGCTTCTTCGTAGCACATAGTTGATCGGACCGTAATATCCAGGCATCAGAGGCATAGTTATATCGTGACGGGCGACGTTTTACAAACTACGATAGTCGAGATAGCGACTAGGCATATGCTTTGTGTTATCCGGCTAGACCAAAACTGGTTCGAAAGTGCGAGTTCTCAAGATTAGATAGCACCTCAGATTAGAACAACCTTGAAGGTTCACTACACTCTCAACAGGAAAAAAAGTGCAGGGGATAAGTGGGTAACAGGCCCTTTTCCCAATCTCGAGCAGGGCTTATCATCCTGAGTGGGCTTGATGCTGGTGACGTATCGTGTTGGCTCCAACGACGGCCTGTAATGTGGCCAAGCTCCATCGAGACGAGGTCATCATGTTCTTTTCGAAGCGGGGAAATATTAGCCGCCAAATCATGCAGCCGGACAGCCCAGAAGCAGCCAGTAGTGTGAACTGTGTTGCAAAGCAACCTAGATCGGATCAGCACTGGCAGAGATTTCCCCATGGGGTATGATCACCACTAAGGTCAAGAGGCCATACCCGAACAGGCCAAGAAGTGCGAGATAGCCAAGGGCTCGGATGCCTGGGGCGAGTGTTTGCCTTCATCGATGCTCGGAACACTTGCAAGATAGCTTTCCGAATTATATCAAATCCATTCAGATAAATATGGCTTCGACCAGCAAACCTCATTGCTAGGTGTGATACGAAGAACCAACCCTCCACCGACCATACAGACCTCGATTCTATCCATTGTTCTTTCCATACAACTATTTTAAAAAATGCTCAGCTTCTTTGGAAACAAGTCCAGCCCTTCTGAGGCAGCCAAGAACGTACCACGAGCTCTCCCATCGTCGTGGTATCGTTCTGCTCCCTTGTATGAATTAGAGAGGCGGGCCATCTTCTCACAGAGATGGATTCTGACAACCCACCGCTCTCGATTTTCACAGCCGGGAGACTTTGTCCGTTATGAGGTTGCAGGGTTTCCATTCTTTCTCTGCCTTGACCGTCAAGGTGTTCTGAATGGTTTCCATAATATATGCCGTCATAGAGCGTTCCCCGTGGTGACAAAGCCAGAGGGCTCTGCCAGTGTTTTATCTTGCAAATATCATGGTGAGGACCTTCCCTTCGTTTTCATTTTTAAATAATTTCTTCACATCAGAGAAAATACTAACAAATCTCAGGTTGGTCCTATGGTTTGTCTGGGAAACTTGCCAAGGCACCCCGTTTTGAGACAATGCCAGACTTCGACAAGGAAGGCAACTCACTATTCAAGATTCACGTTCATATTGACTCTCGCGGGTTTGTCTGGGTGAACCTTGATGCCGACAATAAACCGTCCATCCCCTGGGCCCAAGATTTCAATGAAACAGACAGACAGCCAAGGTTAGATATATTTAATATGGACGATTTCAAATTCGATCATGCATGGGACATGAAGGGCGACTACAACTGGAAGACGCTGATAGACAATTATAACGAGGTAATGTGTTTCCTAGGGGCCTGATACGCCTGAAGGTTGAGCTCGATGGCTGACCGTTAAAAGTGCTACCATTGCAGCGTCGCGCATCCCGGAATTGCGGCCATGACTGACCTCAAGACATACAATGTCGAGACGGTGGGTGGCCAAGTACGGCATTTTGCTAAAGACAAGCCCGGGATGGACTCTGGACTGGAAGTTGCACCCACATTCATGTTTCCGAACGCCTCTATTACGATGACGTGAGTCTTTCCCAAATGAATGTTCATAATCTCGTTTTATACTGACTCTTCATGGGTAGAACCAAGTACTTCTACCTAATGAGGGTAGTCCCTGTCTCACCAAACGAAACCTCAATGCAGTACGAAGTATACCGCCACAAGGACGCTACAGATGAGGAGTTCGAAGAAGTAGACAAGTTCTTCAAGCAGGTAGAGTCTGAGGATAAGGCTCTCTGCAATGCGGCGCAAAAGAACCTAAATAGCGGGACGTACATCACCGGTGATCTGCATTCTTTCAACGAGAAGGGCGTATTGCATTTCCAGCAGCATCTGAAGAAAATACTCATTGCCCATCACGAGAAAGAGGAGCGGGAAGGTGGTGAGATTTGGCCGGCAAGGCAGAGAGTCATTCGCAATGGGCTTGATGAAGAGATTAAGTTTTGCGAGGGACTTGCTTGCGGCGCAGATGGGAAGAAGATTGAATGGTGAAGACTCATTACAGATGGAGGCGGAGCTTTGTCAATTAGATACCAGATTGTTTCCTGTCTATTGATAGCTGCTACCAACAACACCTGAGAGGTGCGAGATTGAACTTCAACAGACCATTCCCTCTAGTTGTCCTTTTATATTGCAATATCAAGCCCTACGCGTAGTAACCGGTTGGTAAAAGATTTATTTGTTCGAATTCAGCAGATATCTGCTATTCGGGACTATTTTAGAAATCTTCTAGAATACTTGCATGAATCAAATGGATGTATATTACAATGTGGCCACGCATTCACTTAGCAATACACTCTCAAACCAAACGTGATGCTGAATGCATACAGTAGCGTTGCCACCACTCGGGTATCTATTACTTAATTTATCCCGCCTACTACATTCATGCCTGTTCTGTGCTCTTTCTCTTATTCCTGCCAATGCCCACCATATGACCCAACTCCTCCCAAAAACCGGTAATGGGCTCGTTGAAGGCGGCCTCGTAAGCGTCAATGGCAGGTCTCTCCCAGACCAGGTCGACATCCTTGGGCCTGATGTACTTGGTCCTCTTGATAACCTTCCAGCCAATGAACAGAATAGGTGCCAGCAACTGCATGGTGTAGTTTTGGAACAGGCCGGCGACGGTAAAGGGCATGAAAGCGCTGTACCCGTAGAAGAGGGCAATGAGAAACTGGGAAACAAGGGCAATGTAGGCGCCGTATGGCTGGAACCAGCCGTAATAGGGTCGAGTGCGTCTGTCAACACCCTGGGCCTTGCAAGCGTAGTAGTAGTTGATGAAGGTGATGGACATGATCATGAAGGTGATAAGGCCGGCACCCGTGACGATGGAGACAAGCCAGTTCAAAACCTCGGAGGAACCTGCGCTGAGCTGCAGGAAGGAGAGGAAGGGGAAAAGCATAACGATGAAGAAGCAGTAGATAGGGGTACCACTCTTGTTGACGTAGCGAAGGAATCTGGGGGCGCGTCCCTCGAGAGCGAGACCGTAGAGGGCACGGGTTGAGCAGTACACGAAGGTGTTGCCAGCGGAGAAGATGGACGTGAAGATCAGAAAGTTGACGATGTGTGGCAAGACACCAATGCCCATGTTGGCCATGGCAATAACATAAGGCGAAGCGGCCGCACTGCCGGTACCTCCCTTGCCAAAGTAGATCTCATAGAGGGCAGGGTCATTGTAGGGAATGACGACAGAGACGGCAAGTGCTCCAACAATGAAGAACAGACCGAATCGGAAGTAGACGGTCTTGAACGCATTTCTGATGTAAATGCTAGGGCGCTTGGCCTCAGCAGCAACCATGGAGATATACTCAGGGCCAACAACAGTAAAGGAGGCGCTCCACATGGCAGCAAGGAAGCCTTCAAACCGGCCGAGGCCGCCTTCGTGTATAAACGTTGCAAACGCGCCCGGATTCGCCCAATAGCGGAATCCGTAGGCATCACGCTGAGGGTTGCCGCCGACCATGGTTATGAATGTAAAGGAAAAGAGGAGGAAGATGAGAATAACCTTTCCACCAGAAAGCCAGAATTCAGCTTCACCATAGGTGCCTACTGCAAGCACATTGAGGAGACTAGAGACATGACGTCTACGTTTAGCACTTGGGTCACGGAGGATGCGACGGAGAGAGAGGAAGTCAGCAGAAAGTTCTTACCCATAGCACACAATCACAGCAGCGCAAACACCGGCAGTCGGGCCAGCGTTTGTGATATTCTCGTTCCAGAAAGACAGCACGAAGGTCAAGGCAGTGATTTCAAAGGGAATAAGCAAGGCCTCGTAGAGGAAAAAGTTCCAGCCAGCGACGAAGCCAAGAGCGTCATCGACCCAGTAACCAGCAAGACGGACGAAACCGCCGGCCACGGGCATATACGTGCCAATCTCGGCCATGGAGTTGTTGACGAGACCCAGGATGATGGAGTATATCAGGTACGCGAGGAAGAGACTACCAGGGCCACCTTTGGCAAGACCGCCACCGATACTGATGAATAGAGCTGTGCCGACGGATCCACCGGCGGCGATGAGCTGGATCTGTCGGTTGCCGAGACGGCGATGGAGTCCTTCGGTGACGACAGTGCTGTCAGCGTTGTTGACATCGGCGGAGCTACTGTCCAGCTCCTGTTCGAGCTTGCCCGCTCGCTTCTCATCGTCTGAAGCCATCTTGAAGGAAGAGAGGCGTCCCTCAAGCAATCGGTTTAAAAATGAAGAGCCAATGGCTTTGTTTCCAACATGAAAAGAAGGGGAAAAGAAGAGAGAAGTAGGGGGGTTCAATGATGAGGATGCTCTCTAGTGGCTAAACAATAAGGGCACTGCGAGGTCTTTATAGACCCCGAAGATCAGGCCTCAAAGAAGCATGGGCATTGTAGGAAGTGACATGGTATAGCTAGTCACCCATCCACCGGGGATGCCGCAGCTAGCTAGACCAACCGGCGGCTCATCATCTTGAGCCTATATGGGAGTGAATTAGAGGAGGAAGGGTACGTGGATCATCGGCTCCCCAAAGCTAGCTGCTTTCTCCTGATGTCAGTCTAGTTATTGGCTGATTCAAAGCTGCGACTGGCACGGAGTCCGGGAAAAACGCCGTTAGCTTAGCCTGTAGCTCACGGAGAGGCTGAACAAAACAGGATTAGAGAGCATTGGCATGGAAGCTGGCGTAGAACATCTGTACGGAATATGGAGCATTACTCCAGAGACAGATAAGCAAGGATGTCAGGGGTGTGGCAGGGGCCACACAAGCTAAGTCTCAAAGATAAGAGTAGCCTAAGAATAACAACAGTGAGTGGTGTGATGAAGTCATTGGTGCTCCAAAGCTTTGGAGTCTTCCGAGGGGACGATAGGACAACCAAGAAGTGTGAAACAGAACTGGATGGGCTACAGGCCTTGCTTGACGTGCATCAGTATATGCATGCTCCATTGACTCTCAATGCCGCGGATTCATGGAGGTTCTAGACCTCTTTCACGCCAAGGCACTTCAGTCCCCAGAGGAGCAATCATGTCTGGGGAAAGGGGCTGACGACGACGCAGGGGGGCGATATGAGAATGAGCTATCGTGTCAGCGCTGATATGGCTCAACGCTCTGTTTGGCTTGTTGGCTTCAGCTCGTGGGTCTCGGACGCATTTGTACTAGCAGTATCTACGAGCTAGACAATTAGGCTCATGGGGCGATTTGTTTGACCAGTGAGGACTCTGAGGAGGTGTTTGATGCCGACTCGACCAACAGTGTGTGGAGCTAGCTGAAACTTCTGAGTACTTATTTAACCCATTACTTCTCACGAAGAGACATGTATACTCAAGTAGTCCCGATGAGCGTCATTTACGAAGCCATTGGGGCAATCCCGAAACTCGAACATGCGTGACATGGCCTGCAGATCCTTGTCCAATAAGATTGGTATGAAATCACAGCCCCCTTTGGCTCTCACAATTTGTCTTCTTTTGGCCAAGTTTGTTATCTATGTAGATGCCCAAGATAACCATTTTCTTGACGGAAGGAGTCAGCGATCAATATTCCATTCAGTGTTCAGTCTCTCCGAATTGCCATATGCCCGAGCTCATCCTCCTCACGGTTTCCTACTAATAGAATGGCCGAGCCATACGACAGGCATTCATATCGAGAGCTATATCCTCCTTAGCTTGCTAGTTGATGATAGATTCCAAAGCACACCGGACTCTTTTGCTTGGCAGCTGCCTCTCGGGAGTCGAGGGTGTGATTTCAACGGATTGATTCCCGAGCTATTCAGCTCCGCGCTCAATTCAATGTCATTGAGACTCAGACGTCATGGATGTTATTATATCAGTCCAGACTCGGGGCCAGCATTTCCTCTTCCATCTGCTCGCATCTTATCCTTCAGTAGTAGCTCTGGAGCTTTACGTGGAAGAAATTTCGATAAAGTGTCCCCTGAAAGAAACTGCCTCACTCATGGGAGAGTGTCGCCACAGTTCCACGTGCAAGTAGGCCCTGACTTCTTGCATAATGATCATTGTCCCAGTCCAAAGTATTTTAATCTGGAAGTATATCCAATACTGTAGTCTTATTATAGGCCAGTGTCGCGAGAATAAGTCTTCACAACTTGTTCGAGCCCAAGATTGGAGTCACGTTCCTGGTAAAACGTATCAATACTTTACACACCAACACCTTGAGAAAGGTGTGAATTATTAATGAACGGAACCACCGGAAACAGTTCTTCACCTTGACTCATCAGACCTTTTTCGTCCAAAGGTAGACTATGAGACTCTGCTGCATCAGTACTCGTGGACCAGCATCTTCTGTCCCCAACTTGCCAGCGGTTGTTTCTGTGTGTGGCCGAAAATTCATAAAGTGATAACGATACCTATAGTGCAGACTGTATGGATAGGTCACACAATATACAGTGTTCAGTTCAATGTGCTCTGAGTATCACATTTAATTGGTCAGTCAATCTTGGTTTAAACCGAGGGATGTGCATGGTGTTTTCCATGCATTCGGTCCCCATCTCCCCGAATCCCACGAGGACGTGTCACATCCGTGCATTTCCCATTAAAACCAACTTACGGACTTATTTCACATTAAACCTAAAGGCGGGCAAATTTCATGCGTGAAATACTTATCATAACATTGTCAGGTTTCGGACAATGATAAAACTCGAACCATAACCCGCCGTATCTAATCCGAGCTCTTAAGATGGTGGGTGTGATAAGACCGTGATGCCCTGAACAGACTGGTGAGTACCTCACATGCAACCTCCCGGGACAGCTGAGAAAACGCGTGGGATTTTATTTTCAAGCCTATGTTTGGGCTAAAGGGGGTGCCTCCGTGCCACGCTTCAACGCAATGGCCTCATGACCAGGCAGGCGGGCCATGCATAACCTTGGGACTGTAAGAGTTACTCGTCAGACCCTTAATCCCAAGATTGACCAACGAGGCACGTCCCAGGATCGTTTCCGGGTCATTGTAGTTCAGTTCCAAACTCCCAGTTCTGTCCACGGAAGAATCTATGGCGGAAAAAAAAATCTATTCATGCTACTT